AAGTTGTATACTAAAATGATTTATGGGCACAATGGTAATTATATATATATATCCGTTAAATTATAATAAATTAATTTGCGAAATACTTAATGTAATAAGGTATATATATATATACCTATAGTAATAAGGTATGTATATATAAGGTATATAAGGTATGTATATATAAGGTATATAAGGTATTTAGCGAGCTATGGGGTCAAAAAGAACTTTATCGAATATTTATTTATAAAATTAAAATTTACGCGATAGAAAGTTGTATATTAAAATGATTTATGGGCACAATGGTAATTATATATATATCCGTTAAATTATAATAAATTAATTTGCGAAATACTTAATGTAATAAGGTATATATATATATACCTATAGTAATAAGGTATGTATATATAAGGTATATAAGGTATGTATATATAAGGTATATAAGGTATTTAGCGAGCTATNACTTAATGTAATATGTTATATATATACCTATAGTAATAAGGTATGTATGTATAAGGTATATAAGGTATTTAGCGAGCTATGAGGTCGAAGAGAACTTTGTCGAATATTTATTTATAAAATTAAAATTTACGCGATAGAAAGTTGTATACTAAAATGATTTATGGGCACAATGGTAATTATATATATATATCCGTTAAATTATAATAAATTAATTTGCGAAATACTTAATGTAATAAGGTATTCGATCGATAATTTCCTAGAAATTGGAATTTGGATAAATAAGTTATAAAAACTAAAAACTAAACTAACCTTAAAATTCTTACGTTTTATTTATTCCGTTAGTATAAATAATTAAAAAATGTTGCAAATAATTGGAAGATTAAATTAACTTGATTAATCAGGTTAATACTGCGTCAGTGCGTTAAATTCAGAGCTATTAACCATGCTTCGAACGGTATAGTTGGCTCACCGAGTTAAATTAAAAACATCCTCACACACGACTTCTCTCTATAATAAAATATGTGTGTCTTGGTACGTATTGAACGAACTATTGGGAGAGTCGCTCTTTAAATATTTACGAATTCGAACATACTTGCACAGTTGCGGGGAAAGTGTTCGAATGCGATGGAGGATACGAACGATTGGGAAAGAGAATTGTAGTAAACAATAAACGTGCAATAAAGAAGATTTCATTTTCAGATATGTCGCCTTACCTTTGTAATTGTTGCATCGATAGATAGCCGAGATTCTTCTCACTAAAATAAGTTCGAACATAACGTAAGTCGGCTTACTTTAAGCTATTCTTGGTTTAATTAATAAGCTATTTATAACGATAAGCTCTCCGAGAAACGTAGCCCGATTTACATCGTGTTTGAACTCATTTTGTTCAGAAGAATCTGAGCTATCCGATGGCGCCACAATTCTAAAAGTAAGACGAAAATGGCGGGAAATAAAACATTTCTTTCCTGCGCGTTCGCTTGGTCCATCGCGGCAGTGGGGATTACATAAATTTAACCGTACGGATTTCCTGTAAGTTAAACCGTTCACCACAGTATCGCTGAAAATAATTCGCAGGAAAACGCGTGTCTCCGATGTTAAACGAAGCGATTCAATTTTCGCGATCCATCGGACGAAACAATGGAACCGGGAGAAGAAAAGGACCGAATCGATCGAACGATGATCCTTCGAACACTTCGATCGACACCAGTCGATCTTCGTTACGGCCGACGACCGTTAGTATATGCTATTTTCGCGGAAGACGTTAAATCAATCAAACACAATTTGTTCGCGCGGCTCTTTATTACTTTCTGGAATTACTCGAAGGGAATTTCCCATGTCGATGTATCGATCAGAGGTAACAAACGATTGGCGTTACGACGCGAAAACAGGAATATCTTAATTAAGATCTGACAGCGACCAACGCAACGGTGGAAAACGATGCAGAAAATTGATCACGCGATAAAAGCGTTTCGTTAAAAATTAACGATTTACCGATGCGACGACGATTTATTTGCTCGTACGCGCGACAAATTCTTGCGCGATCTAATTCACTCCAGCTTATACCACGAGAACAACTATATTATCCTTTTTGCAACTGTCCTCGTCGACGCCTGCATCGTGAACAAATTAGTCGGGAAAATTACCAGTCGCTCCGAACCGAATCGCATCCCCTTCGACAGCGAAAACAAAAAGAAAGATATATGCAGCCCCGACCAAAAAATGAATCCTGATTAATGGCGCAAGTTTCCAGCGGCACGCCGGGTGCTGACCATGTTCGGAATTTATAATGGCGGAATACATTATAATGGTCCTAGGAACTGAAACTCGGTCCCTTTCGACGCGGCGCCATTGTCTTCGATGGTAATCACGAAAGAATAACGCGGTTCCTCCTGCAATTAGTGCTTCATCTTTTGATCGATGGCGGCAATTATACTTGGAATCGTTGATCGAAGACAACAGCCGCTTCATTTCTCACCCCTCCGGCTGAACGCTGAATATTACTCGCACTCGCATTATATTCTGCGGCGAAGATCGCAGCGCGATTCCCGAAGCGTTATTTGCACACGGGAATCCATTCGCACGACATTACATATTTTTTTTGTCATTGCGAACGACTCTTTAACACGTTCCGTGCCACGTGTACCATCGATGGTACACGCTTGCATGTTTACTTAGTGAACTGAACAAATTGTTTACAAGAAATTTAGAACCGAAGAATCAATTTCCACCGCAAGAATGGGCGTTGATAAGTTTTTGTTACGTTGTTATGTGTACGAGAATTAATAATTGCACGTAATACATTAAGTTTTAGTCAAATATCNTTCGCACGACATTACATATTTTTTTTGTCATTGCGAACGACTCTTTAACACGTTCCGTGCCACGTGTACCATCGATGGTACACGCTTGCATGTTTACTTAGTGAACTGAACAAATTGTTTACAAGAAATTTAGAACCGAAGAATCAATTTCCACCGCAAGAATGGGCGTTGATAAGTTTTTGTTACGTTGTTATGTGTACGAGAATTAATAATTGCACGTAATACATTAAGTTTTAGTCAAATATCAAAGTGTGAAGATTCGAGTAAAAAAAACTCGGCACGGAACGTGTTAACCCTTTCAGAATCGCGCGAGCTTGCGAAGCGAAAGAGAACAAATTTCAGGATATTAAACTTTTCAACCCTTTTCTTTTGGCGTCGTACAACGACCAGTTAACGACCATAGCTATCGATAGTTCCTATCAGAGCAATCAATATACTATATGGTGATTCGAATGAATTTTTAGATATCTCTGTTCTACGTTGTTGATATGTTTATTTCAATATTTCTACGAAGTCACGAAAAGAATAGTTTTGCTAAGTAGTGAAGTTGGAAAAAAGATTCGGCAAAGTGGTATTAATAATAATTCAACCGGCGGTCAAGACAGAGGACAAAAAATGTGGACTGCCTTAATTTTTAAAATACAGATCAGTGATTGTCGTCGTAACATGTAAAACACTATTGCGGATATTTTTATTACATTGTAAAAAGATTATAATATGAAAATTGTATATTTTTCAAATAAATAAAAATTGTATATTTTTCTTTGGTATCTTCAAAGTTTCGTGTTTATGCAACTTTATATTAGGGCAAGTCCGAAAGAGTTCGGCCAGCGGGAGAGACCGGCCAGTGTAAATATTTCGAAACGACGACGCCATATGGCGTTGCACTAAAAGTCGGCAAACACTTTAATAAATTGATTGTTGGTCACGTATTGCAATTGTCGCGAAACTGTATCTTGCAAATTGCGTTTAGAGTCTTAGGCGAATCTGAACGTTTTTTCACCAATACATATTCTTAGCACTAATTGACAAATATAAATAAGTTTATTTACACTATTATAATTTTAAGGAATATGTAGTACGCATGTATTCATTTCTACTTTATATTATAAAATTTATATTATAGATCTGTCCCGTAATTCTGTTATAGATCAACCATACTAATCCGGAAGAGTTCAATCACATAAATTGTTCCGTCCTTCAACGAAATTCTTATTCTTCCTCTATCCGGTCTTTTTCCAAAGCGAATTTGCTTTCTTTCTTAGCGAAACAATACCCGTGTTTCCACAAACAAATGGAACTGTCATGGTCAGAAAACGCGGTAGACATCTTGCGAACATTATAAATAGTTCAGAGAACATTAAGACAAAGAAGAACAAAGGAATTATAAAAAAACATAGGCATGTTTAAATTAAAAGAGTAAGGATATAAAGAAACGTAGAGAACAATTAGAACAATCATTCGACTCGAGCCAAACCACAAAAGGTGACAACTGGCTTAAATGTGTGAGATGCTCCAAACATGAACATTTTTGTGAGAAGCTGAGGAAAAAATAACATAAAAATTACTTTCTTCACTTATAATACTTTGAGATCGTCCACAGTATTTTTGTTTTTTGCTTGAAAATGATAGTGTATATTTTAAATTGACGCAAAATATTGTTTATACCTATGTTAACACTAAATTTGCGGAGCACAAAAAACAGCTGTTTCACATTAGTTTATAAAAGTAACAATAAGACATTTATTCTGATTGTTAACAAGTGTTATTGTAACATTTGCTGTAAGCAACATATAAATTGAATAAATAACTCATAAATGTATCTTTACGATATGAATAATCGTAAATTAAAAAACCCGTCGTTTCGACGGGTTCCGTAAATCTGGTGTTAAATTACTTAGGCATTGCTGTAATTTGGTTGATGCAACAAAATTCTGAATCTAACCAGAGCGATACGATACATTTTTCAAAAAGTGGTTGGACTTTCCCGAACTTACCCTATGCATATTCCTAATGGTACTTCTAAAGATAGAGGACTATCGATGGTACTATCGACAGTGGTCGACAGTTATCGATAGGTTTCGTGAACTATCGAAAGCTATCGATAGTGTCAAGTGTAACCTTTTACGCATAATTGCCTTTATTCGTTCCGTCAGCCTTTCTCGTAATCGTGAAAGGGTAAAACTCCGACCCGGACGAACGGTGGAAGGGATTCGACAAAATTTTAAGGATATTTACCTTGTAATTGCTGACCGCGTGCGCGCCATCGTAGATGTAGAGATGATCGTTGCAATCGAGTTGCAGCTGATCGAAGCGTAGCATGAACCGCTGCAGAATGCTGTGGGTTTGGAAGGTGATGATGCAGTCGAGGTCCTTGTCGTTCTGCGACAGGAGCACGGCTCCATCGATCTTCATGTACACATCGTATTTGTAGTTACTCTTGCATATATTCCTCATTTCATCTGCAACAAAAGAGAATTCGACATGTTCAATCGCGAAAACGAATCGTCGTGGCGGAGTGGGAAGTTGTTCCCGACGCATTCCCGGCCCGAAAGCCTGCGAATCAGTGATCCCTCGGCCGTTATGGCTCGTCCGGATTCGACCGAACGAGAAAATAAAAAGCTCGGAACACCGACGAGTGGACGGAGGCGAAGAAACTCGATTGAAAAGTTTCGCCCTGCGCTTCGGGCCATCAGGAGTAGAGCCGCGTGACGTAGTTGCAACCTGCGAGAGTTCTGCTCGAATGTGGGCCGAGTGAACATTCTTGGCCAACTAAGGTAAGATTTTCGATAAACCTGCGCGGAGCCTCGCGGTTGGAGGTCACGGAGCGACACTGACTTTTGCGATTCCTCCGAGGCATTCGAACGTTTTCGAGATCGGAAGGAGAAGTCAATTTTTCGAAGATCAATGCACGGACAAATTCTTGTTTAGTTTAGCATCTGCGAGACGAGTTCGCGTATCGACAATCGCAAACTAATAATTCTTTCGGGTAATGTAATTTGTAATTTGTAATTTATAAGTTTATTTACGGGATTAACCCTCTGTTACGAAAAAAAATTAATTAACCAGCGAAGAAGAGATATAAAATAGTCATTCGCGACGGATAATTGATTAGCCGACTGATTGACTAAAAATATCATACATCAAAGAAATGTGGTAGAGAATAATCATTTTTGGACCCGTTTTGGGAATGAAAAATTGTAAAGCAAGTAAATCGAAAACCAAACCAACGTCGAGAGTAAGATGAAAGCAGAGATACCGAACAATGTATTTAATTGTTCTTCAAGAAGTGCTTGTTCAGACGTGATAAAAAAGAAATTAGCCATCGTTACGTTGCCTGGAAAGTTTTCCAAAATATGAGGATTCTTGCTCCCGATTGGAGAATTTTACAAGACTTGAATTTATTACTAATATTTATTATTAGTATTATCAGCGGACGAAGTCCAATTCCGCTCATCGGCTCGGCCGTCTCGCGCCAGCTGATCTCGCCCCTCATTGGTCACTGTTTTTCGTTACTAACTGATGAACGAAGCAGCGGATTGCATTTTCGCTAAGGAAAAAGTTACTTCGAATGACCTCAGGAATCGCCCCCTTCCGGGTGTTAACATAATTACGGGACACCCTGTGGAATTCATTCCACCACAAAATGCTTTGCTTAAAGTAAAATTATTAACTTAAGTGCAACTGCTACTATTGGGACAAGAATCAACGACACCTTGAGAAACCTCAGCTTTTACAACTTCGTTTACTATAACCCCTAGATTTCGATAACCGAAGAATCAAATTTTCTTTCGATTTAGAAGAAATTTAATAAATTCGTACTTGGAACATTGTGTACGAATTCTTCGCCACGAACCCGGCTCGTTGTTATACCGCAAGGGTTTAATAACGGAACCCCTTTGCACTCGCGCATGGCTCTCGAAGATGTCAAAGGTCACAAAAGGGAAAATTAAGAAAATTTGCGCGCGTAGCAGCATCGATCGTTCAACAGATCGTCCCCTGTACCAAACCCGACGAGCACTCGTGTTTCGTTCGAGCGCCGGCAATTCGTTCGTTCTCTTCGTTTAATCATCGCCGTACAAATTTCGACCGGGCGACTCGAGTTGCTCTCGTCGTAAATACCCCCTGATCAGGGGTTGCTTGTTCTCGGGACGTCCTCGGAAATTGTAGCCCGGAATATCGGGGACGCGATCGAGCGAGCGAGCGAGCGACCGACCGAGCCAGAATTCAGCGCCATTCGTCATAGTTATTAGTCCTGCAGCTTTCCTACGTTTAATTCACAGGCTCGATGGACACGCGTAGTTGGTCATAATTCACGGGCCGGCCGGAGGAAGGGAAACACATAATCGACGTAGAAATACGGTATTTGCCGATATTAATGACGCGAGCACGTCCCGTAAATTCGCGGCCATCGCCATCCGCCATCCGCCATTCCCGAAACATCGACCCGGACACCCGGGCAGCGTCGAATGGCGTGCACAGAGCCCCGCGTAAAAATCTGCCGCGTTCCCGAGACAAAGGACAGGGGTCAGAGACAACGGATGGACGCCGTGACGCGATCGAACGGGACTATCAAATTTCCAGAAGGCAAAAATGACGAAAGCTCCGCCTCGCGGTGTAACAAAACCGGAAATGCTCGCGAACCATACGACTTGCGGTGGACGGAGGGTGTATCGGCGGTGCATCGAATAAGGGAGGAGGAAAAAAGGACAGTGGGGAGGAGCGAATGGATAAAGAAAAAAGTGAAATCGGTCGCACGAAGAAACGAGCCTTCAAAAGGAAACTCTGAGACGCAACTACAAAGAACTTCGGGGTTCCGCGAAAAGTCGCGTGCAAAACAAACCGGGCGAGAGCGGCGGCGGCGGCGGCAGCGGGGAAACGGGGGAACGGGGGAAGGCAAATGGAAAGAAAAAGGAAAACGGGACACGGAGAGAATGAGGCGGGGGCGGGCGGTCGGCGTCCGTGGGACGGAGGAAGAAAGAAAGGTTAGACGGAGAGAGGCCACCCTTTGGCCATGGTCGTGCGCGTTGGCCCTACGACCCTCCAGCAATCACCACCACCGGGAGCCCTCAACGTTTCTCCTGCTCTCTCCCTCTCTCTCTCTCTCTCTCCCCTCTCTCTCTCTCTCTCTCTCTTCCTCTCCCATTCTCGTTCTCGTTCCCGTTCCCGTGGCACCCTCGAGCGCGACCCTCCCTCGCGCTTCCCACCCCGGACCTAGCGCGCTTCCCTACCCTTCTCGCTCGGTTCTCCACCATCCTCCTCCATTCTCCGCTCCCGTCGCGTCCCGCTTCCTCTTGGGACGATGTAAGCCCGCTCCGTCGATCAATATTACTCTCTCTTGGAGCGCGGCACGGCTCGTCTGAGCGGCAACCGAGCGCTATCGTATTAAGTTGCGAGCACTTTGGCTCTCCGAGGCTCCGCTCCGAGGCTCCGCTCCGAGGCCGACGCAGTTCCAGTCCGCGCCAAGAAACTTTTCTTTCGAACCGGCACCGTCTGCGTCGGCGTCGGCCGATTTTATCTGTTCGCCGAGCAACGACGCCCGGCAACGGAGAAACAATGTTATCGCAGCATAACGGGGCATGCTCTTAAAAGTTCAACCCCCCAGATCGACGAGAGAAAACGGGCCACCGAGGCGTCCCGGTATCGTTCCGGAGATCCGACCAATCTGATTCGCCTGCGAACCATCAGATTGCTCCGAACTACTTTGCTCCGATGGTTTCGTCTTCTTTCTCTCTCCCTCTCTCTCTTCTTCTTCTTCTTCTTCTTCTGTTTCTTTTTCCCTCACTTCGCCCATTTCTTTTCCTCCAACTTCTGCTTGTTCTTCGCAGCTTCTTCGGGACGTCGGCATCGAACGATCCGATTATTCTCGACCGTAACGTAAATCGGCCCGAGGCAAACGGCACACTCGAACGCGTTCGACGAAAATAATCGGTTCGGAGCAGGTGTTCCCGCTTCTACCTTGGTTCGCCTCTGTTTACGATTGCTCGGACACCGGTTGCTCGCGAAAGTTAGGCATTCGCGGCAGTCAGCGAACTGATTTTTACGCGGCGGCGATTTCTCGCAGCGGTTGCATCGGAAATGAAGTTTAACGGATGCTTTAACCCTTTGCGGTCGTACGTCTACCCTCAGCCGCCGAAGCTTTTTTACCGTGCCAGTCGGATGTCTGCTCTCTCAGCCGCCGCAGCAAAGAACCGTACCGATCTCGTCAGCTGTGTATAAACTTAATAACGACCGCGAAGGGTCGAAGGACACGTGGTTTCGCGAATAATTCAACTTTCTTTCATTCCAATTTTTCATTACAGTGAATTTTGGACACGGAGAACGTGCTTACAGATGTCTCGCAACGTGTTCGACGAACATCCTCGATTTCGATCGAGAAGCAGACTTTTTTTACGAATCGCGCCGTTAGTTGCAACCCTGCACCCGCAACTCCGAACGAACGTGTTGCCACAAAGTTTGCCCACGTGTCCGGATATACAGAGCGACTCGTCGCCGCACGGCAAAGACAATACCGAAATCGTGTTCCTCCTTCGCCGCGTATCCTGCGAATGAAATTTCGTCGCAACGAACGCAACGTACGTTCGAGGGGAAATACCGGTTTCCGGAGCACGGTGCACCGTTGCACCGTTACATTGTTGCGTCGCTGCACCGCACCGATGCGGCGGGCAAAGGTGGTAGGGTGTACCGGCTGGATAGAGAGGGTGCCGAGGCTACTCACAGTTGTCGTTCTTCGCGTGACACAGCGTCAGTGCCAGCAGCAGGAACGCAGAGAGGAAGGCCTTCGCCGCGAAGCACATCCCTAGTCGTCGTTTTGGTGTCACGCGCGGCGTGTATTCGAGCGGACCGCTCGTTCCGCGGCTCGGGAGACCCGCGCGCGGTCGAATCGGAAAGGAAACGGTAAGGGTGACGGTAACGGAAACCGAATGAGATCGATGGCGATGCCCATCCGTGGACCATGGGCACCAGAAACCGCACCCCGCGCCGTATTCCGCGCGACTGAATGCCGCTCGGCGCGATTTTACGCGCGAACCGCCTCGCCTGACTCGGTGGCGCTCGTCGCTCTCCCGTCCCTCTCTCTCTCTCTCTCTCTCTCTCTCTCTCTCTCTCGTTTCTCTCGTTTTTCGTCGCGTATGCGCACTACCACCGTCAGAAGGGTGTGGATAGGCGGGAGTTGAAAGGATCTCGACGTACTACGCCGACACCCACGGTCATTGTTGAGGCAAGTTAATGAGCGAAACGATACAGGCTGGTTTTACGAGCGTATCGTGGTTCGTGGTTCGTGGTTCCGCGGTGCAGGGTGTGTCCGTGAGCCCGCGTACCGAACACGCTGCGAGAACAACGCTGCCGCGCCGGGGGGTGGCACGCCGTTAAATGGAATTCTATTATTCTTCGTCATTGTCTTGCGCTTTTATGATCGGCTCGGTAAACGCTCGTGTAAACTTCTCTTCGTCGCATTGCTTCC